GCCACTGCGAAAACACAAGGGGTACGTACGTGCCAGCCTGGACGACTTGGTCAGCAACCGCGACAGCCGCACCGGCATCAGCGGGTCCACAAGCGAGGGCGCGCTTAGGGAGGCCTCCACGAGTGAAATACGAGGAACGCTTCTCATTGCCGAAGCATTTCTGCGACAAGTAACGATGGTCAAGCGCCGAATTAGCTATAGAGGAACCAAACTAACTTTCATGACCTCAAACTTCTTGCTGAACATCGAGACCTTGGTGCGTTGGTCGAAGAGGCCGAAAAAGTCTCCATCGGCGCCTGCATTGACGTCCAATCCGGAATTGACCTTGAAGCAACCGCCGAAAGACGCACTGGCATCCGGAGTCAAGGGGATCTGGTCAGCAGCTTCGCGGCGAGAGTGAGGCATCATGGGCTTGTGGACCATGGGCTTCGGGATTTGGACCGGCATCATAGGTTTATGAAGCATAGGTTTGGCAGGCATCATGGGTTTGTGGACCATGGGCTTGGGGATCTGGATCGGCATCATAGGCTTGTGAACCATAGGCTTCGCGGGCATCATGGGTTTGATCACCGGGAGCATAGGCTTGTGAGGAGGCTTGTCGTGCTTCATCGGCGGCAGCGGCGGCGGCATGACATGGGAGGCAGCAGGGGGAGGCATCTCATCCGTAGTGACGGCGGGAGGAGGCGGCATCTCGTGGGTGGTGACGGCAGGAGGCGGGGGCATTTCATGGGTGGTCACAGCAGGGGGAGGCGGCATCTCATGAGTAGTGACGGCAGGAGGCGGGGGCATCTCGTGAGTGGTCACAACAGGGGGAGGAGGCATCTCGTGGGTGGTGACGGCAGGGGGTGGAGGCATCTCGTGGGTGGTGACGGCAGGGGGAGGAGGCATCTCGTGGGTGGTGACGGCAGGGGGAGGAGGCACCTCATGCGTAGTGACGGCAGGAGGTGGCATCTCATGCGTAGTGACGGCAGGGGGAGGAGGCATCTCATGCGTGGTCACAGCTGGCGGGGGAGGCATCTCGTGAGTGGTCACAGCTGGCGGGGCAGGCATCTCGTGGGTGGTGACGGCGGGAGGAGGCATGGCATGTGGGGGCATAGCGTGCGGGGGCATCATTGGCGGGAGGTGCACCGGCATCATGGGTTTGGGTACATGCACCGGCATCATGGGTTTAGGTACATGCACCGGCATCATGGGGAGATGAACCGCAGGCATCATAGGCTTGGGAAGATTGAGACCAGAGAGGGTCCGTTTCGCAAGCGCAGGAGAGCCGGTACCCTCGAGGGAGAGATCCATCTCGGCGGAGGCATCGAGTTCGAGGTAAACGCCCGTCTTTACGATGTCACCGAGCGCGGAGACCTTGAGATTGACTGATGGAATGAGGTGCGCAGCGACGGTGCCTGTAGCCTTGGTATTGGGTGCGACAGACAGTTTGAGGGCTAGCATTGACCGCGTGAGTTTGAGAACTACTCCGAGAAAATGAGGCCCCACTCACGAGTGTCACCAACGACGAATTTGCCTGCGTCCTGAGCATTCTTGTTGGGTGGGAAGGTGAGCTGAGCCTTGCTAATGTGGTAGTTGAGGCCGACAGTGAGATCTGCCTTGGCATCGACCTGAGCAGTTGCCTGGGCGTTGACCACAAAGGAGGGGTCAACAGTAAGGATGCTGTATAGTGGTCAACATGACGGCGGCTTCTTTGATGGGCATTTTACTTACCCAGGAAAATCGACTCCAGGAACGTCTACCTCAAAGATCTTCTGTTTGCCCGAGTCGAGAGTTCCCTAGCAATAACCCAAGTCAGAGCATATTCAAAGGAGGGAGAAGGTTAATCGTAACTCACTGATGCGGATGCGGTCATAGTGACAGCACCATCGATGTTGGCAGTAAGACCTACACAGGAACGTTTAGTGAGAACTTCAAGGAGAAATAATCGACACCTACTGGTGATGATAGCAAAGTCGTTGACCTTGGGGGGAACGATGGTTCCAGATGCGGCAACTCCGATGTTCGCGTCAGCATTGGCCTTTGCATCGACGTCGATCTTCATCGATGAAGTGGAAGAGGTGCATGCGAGCTGCTGATCGACAAGGTTGAACGTCTTGTCCACGCTGAGGGGGGAGAGCTCGTTAGAATTCTCAGTGTCGAAGTTGTTAAGTCCCTTGATAGCTGCATATAGAATAGTCAGTGATGGTGTTGTGATATGCCCAAATAAAAAACGAACCATCGATGGCCTTGTTGACGAAGTCAAAGAGGCTTCGTTCGGCGTGAGCAGCGCCATAGATGCGGCTGCGACGCGCGGGGCCGACGCTAGAGGTGTCGATGTCAACGGCAGCTCCTTGGATGTTGGCACCTTGGAGAGCAAAGTTTACGGGGCCGTTCCTGCCGAGGGATTTATGTGAGACTTGACACAATAGGGATCTAAAAACTCACTTCGAGGCATCAACCTGGTCGAAGTTCGTGTCGATGGCGAGAGCCTTGACTTGAGGTTGTGCGCCATCCCGTCGGACAACTTTTCCTGCAATGGATGCAGGAATAGACTGGTCCTCGGGAACCCACGCGCGTGAGACGCGGGCGAAGGCGTTTTTGCCGCACTAGAAAGTGTCAAATGAGGAACCGATAGATGATTGGAAAGGCACTTACAGTCTCGGGCAAACGCACAATCTTTCCCGCTGCGCCTGTACTCGAATAAAGGTGTGTGCAGCCAGAAGCCTCAGGTGCGCTGTCTCTACAGACTAGACGAATATCCTGAGAGAGCTTGTCAGGAGAACAACCAATAATCTCCCATCCTGCGGCAGTTGTAATGTCAGAAATGGCATCTTTGGAGCCCCACTGGTTATCGCATTCTGTGAGTTTTCTTTCAGTCTCAGGAAAAATTATTTACAATTTTCAGGGTGCCGGAGGAGCCAGTTGAGTCAGAAATATCTGAAGGCAAGGCATCAATTGATGTGCGAAAGCGGACTCCAAAGGTTTACTGACCATAAGAACAGACTCCGGATAAGCATGGTTTGCTCCAATCATTCAACGCATAAGTAGCGGTGATGATAGAGAGCAGTACAAAAGTTGAAGGAACCATGGTGTGTCGGGATCGGATAAAGGGGTAGTATGACTCGGATACTAGACCTGCCGGGGTCGAAAGAACGAATGAAGGGCGCAAAAAAGAAAGGACGGAACGAGACGAAAAGCCAGTCGTCCACTTGAGGGAACCGTAAGAGACAAAGACGGAGACAAAGAGGATTGGGTTCCATCTTCAATTACCCAGCTCCTTATAAACGCCTCAATGAACGAGTGGTGCCTGCTTTCATGATGCTTTTGATGTATTCAATTAAGGAAAGGGCGAGAACACTGCGGTTGCTAGGTCAGTCCATGACAAGTCGTCGGGAAGGCGAGGACAGAGAAGTGATTGATTTTGTATATGGTTTTTGACACGTCCTACGTTAGCCAATATGGAGCACAAGAGTTCAAGTTGAGGTAGGGGATCGTTTGAGTATAATCTGTTTCAGAGAATGAATTGACAGTTCAAAGTAAAAGCTGGTACGTTGTAATAGCAGTGCACGGACAGGAGGTGGTTGGCACCATGCGGCGGATGAACAGGTCCGATCAATATCAGCATCACCGGCGCATACGTCAGCGAAGAAGTGCCTCACTTTCTCCCAGCTTTCTCCTCCTCTTCGACAGTGCTAATATCTCTACTAAACCCTCTCTTGGAGATGACCGCTAAGGCCTAGTCAGCCATAACCTCATATTCGAAATACTGAGACATCATTTGCCTAAAGCACTCGTAAAGGTATGTATGAGCTTCGACATCCCAAGTACTCCTGTCTGTCTACAGATGTCAAATTCAATCAAGGGATCCGAGTTGAGTAAAATTTTAGGGCTCCGTGTCGTTTCTCTATGCTTTTTTCTTCTTCTAGATTTCCGGCTGCCTTGCCTACTTCTATGCGCTATCAAGTACGTGGATGGATATACACTTTCGGACGCTGATTCCTCTACTCTGATCTTCGCCGTTGCTACAACCGGTGCGCTGATGAGCCCCTGTAGTCTTAATAATAAGACCGGGGAGCGGGCGCCTCCTCGAAAATTGCCTTGAAGATCGCCGATGGCAATTATTAGTAGCACAATAGTACCATGTTCTCCGATGCCGGAGAATGTTTCATTTCAATCCTCAACAATTTTTGACTCTGTGACTCGCTACCAATGAAATACTTTACGAAAAAGTGTGCAAACTTGGCCTTCGCATCGCAAAATTTCAAACCACCCAAGTGAACTACGTTTCTTGTTCGTTGATCGTATGCTTGGGGGGTTTCTGTTGGCCAACGATTTCATCGATCAGCGATAGATCTCTCGCCACATTCAGTACTCCTATCATTCACAAATTCGCAAGTAGTAGACAGCGAGTAAGGCTCTTGCTTCTTTCCGAGTCAGCCCGAGCCCGGGCAGCGAGTTAGTACTTCAGTAATCAAGTTTTTGCAGTGACCACTCCTCACTTTTTCAACAATAATAGAATTGATCTTCAGCGATGACTCGAGTCAGATGTTTCCTTTTTAAAATTCCGGGGGGAGATATTTTCTCATATTCAACTCTAGGTCAGCTTGTTTTGGCGTTCCGGAGTTTGGCAGTAAATTTCTAATATTGGCTCGACTAATTAGATTCATCCATCTCCAAACATCGATGCATCCGAATAGTATAGGTTTTCTGCCGTCACTGAGAAGAAAGAAGAAGAAAAAGGCCATCCTCAATGGAATTTCAGGGATCCTGCTGAGGGATAGGGGTTTTAACAACCATTCAGGAGAAAGGATTGAAAGAAACTAATAAAAGATGACAGGATTCAGGTACTCAGGTGTGGCGCAATCTCAAACTCAAAGATTATAAGCGACCACTATCTGAGCCATGGAGAATAAGTAACTCGACCTCAAAGAAAATTAGAATTCCCACAGAAGAGAAAACCAAAAGCTAAACTTGTAGAATATACACTGCTAATAGAAAGCATGAGGGAACAAAAAGATTGGACGTTCAGGGGATTGAACCCTGGGCCTCATACAAGTTCTACTGCTTGGGGCAGTTGTGCTTAATACACGTGCAAAGCATGCGCGCTACCACTGCGCTAAACGCCCGTGATAAGACCTAGAAAATATAGATCTCAGCGCTGAGTCGTAGAAAGGCACCTTGGTCTGATCTTCGCCAAGCCACATTCCGATGCACATATCTGAGTTTACCAGTCAACGGTGGCTCCAAGAGTTGATACATGCTAATTTTTTTGAGATACATTTCATTTTCGAGATTTTCAATTTCTTATGCGAGATCTTGTCCCAGTGGGCTATGTCACGGTATCACACATGTGGCGCGCGTACAAGTCAGTGGCAGTACAATTTCTTGCACTCAACACGATTGACAGCTCAGTGAAACTGTGTGTGTTACCTACTCCTTTCAATGTTCAACTGGGCTGCCAATTTTTTTGAACCTCTTCGAGGAGTCCAAAGGTTTGATCTCGAAAGATTCCTACGTATTCGGTCGATCAGGCATCCACTGATCATGTTTTAGGTGATCTCAGTTTGACGGTAATAGAATAGATTATCGTGGGCCGACTCGATAGTGGATTGTATTACTATTCCGGCGAGCCTTTTGGTAACAATACTGCCCAGAGCTAGTGCGGATACAACTAATTCACTTCACCAGACGGTGGCAACGCCCATAATTTACAGCCTTAGTTGAAAATTCGATCGAATAGATGTGAAATTTGAATTTTTGCTACCAAACTTTCAACACAGCTGGATGGTTGCTCTGAACACAGTTTAAGAGGAACTCTAGGATCGTGATTAGCTTCAAATAATATTCCAAGATGACTGGAATTACTCATGAACGGATTGTTCATCGCAAAAATATTCATGCGCGACAAGATCAATTGAAGTAATGTTGACCATTGAGCGTTTTTTCCAGTGACCACCCAGCCAACCTTGAGGATTTCATGTATAAATACCTCGCAAGCGGAAGTCCAAAGTACCTGCGCAGACCATAAGATACCTTAAGGATTAGGCGACAACCCACTTACCCCGATTATAGGATCGGTTTTAAGCACACTTGTGGGGATTGAATTATGGGTCAAAACAGCAATCGATTGCGCAGAGACAAGTACTTTCTGTCTCGAGTGCTCGTTGCCCTTGTCCGATAATGATAGATGCAGCTTGATGGTGGCCGCATGGGTCATCATACGCACCACTAAGAGCGTTTCCGCTTCAGAAGACCCAACGTTCATGCCCTCTAGCAGAGGAAAATGCGACTTGAACACGTCAATAAGGGTATCAAGACGTTTGAAGGTGTCCGACTGGACCATATTTTCAGCTCCCAGCGTGGTATCAGGAATTGAGGCTCCAATAACCGTAGCCTGTTCCAAAAGCACAGCTGCCTTTGCGTGAAGGGCCACAGTAGAGAAACCTTCGATACTCATGCTCTCCAAAAAATTTCGGATTGTTCCGCTACTGACACGGGGTAATAGCTGCTAATATTCCTTGAGATAAGCGACGTTGGGTTTGAGTTTGGAGAGCCTCACCAATTGGTATTCAATAACGTCCATAGGCCAGGGCGTGTCGACTCCGATATGTTGGAGGTCCAAAAACATGTGTGATTCCTGTATCGCAATCCAGTAGCTGTTTAGAATTAGGGCTGCCCAAAAGGCATCAATACGTTCCCCTTCCTCTAGACTGTCATTTGGTGGTGGCAGAGCTCGGGTGGACGCAATTGGCGAGCCAGCTGGGGTCGATCCCAAGATGGAGCTGCTAGGTGTCCGAATCCGGTGTAGACCTGATGATAGAGATAACGAGACAGCAGCATTGGCATGATAATTTCCTCCAAGGACCTTGCCATGTCTAAGGAAATAATAAGAAAGGAGAATTTCAGTTTGGATGCTGTGTAAAATCCTCTGTGGGTGTGCGCTAGCTAGGTCATTTGGGAGATGGTATAGCGCTTCATGCAGAAAAGTCTTTTCGTCGAAGCCACCCAGTAGAGATATCTGAGATAAGTGGCCACCCCAGAGGAATATTGCGTTCAGCAGGGCAGGCGTAGGTCGATCGTAATGTCCTATTGGTAGTGGCAGGAGGAAACTTTGGTGAAATCGTCCAACGTTCAGGAAAAAACCCAAACGAGCGCAATGTTGATAAAAGACGTCGACCCTACGACCTATGATCAGGTATGCGATAAAAAAAAACGAATTTACTTACATGAGCAGCGCAATTTCCGTGGGTATCTCTTGAACAGGGTCTGAAAATGGGAAGTGGCACGAACGGGCAGGCTGAACCGTCATGACGTCGAAAGTGGACAGCGGTGGCGAGCCGAAAAGGTAGGGCTGATGTAGATTGTTGTCACCGTCATCTGAAGATTGAAGTTGACGGATACGATTTTGGATATGTGAGATTTTGTTCTCAAGGATCTGCGTCTGTGTTGGCCCTCTGCCAGGATATTCACAGTCTTCAAAGGCTCCGTTAGACCTGGAACATGGCCCACAAGATGGTTTGCGTCCGTCGCATTTCTACATATTGGGATCAGTGACTTCTTCAACGCCAAAGGAAGACACACACGATCTTTCTTCGTCTTAACATTGATAGAAATTTTTAGTATCTCGGAATTCGAGGGATTATGTTCCACAAACCGGCAGTTCATACAAGCCTTTCCTTTTAGCATGACGAGTGAGATCGGGATAGAGATTGTAGAAGCCTAAAGATGGCGCGGTTTGCGGGGAGGCTCAGGATCTACAGAATGAGCTACATATATAACGATTTCCGTTTCTATCATCGGCACAGGATTTCGGCGCCCTCAAAACAAGATGCAGTTCGCGACTTCGCGATTATGCAGTGGAATCAAGCGGGTCTTTCCATTCCTCGGCATTCCGTGTGAATACATGATGCAGAAATATACTTGACGGATATGAAATCGAACCGATTCCAACCTTGAGGACCTAAAGTTGAATAGGAAGCGGGAGGAAAGAGAGCGCCCAGACGTGAAAAAGTGACAATTTAGGGTAATTTCCATGATGTCGGGAATTGATCCATTATATTTCCTGCCGAGCCGCCCGACATGTCTGCCATCTAAACAGCGCTGGGTGATTTCATAATCGATGGCAACTCCCGCGCAGACTTCTATGACTGAGTGGTTCTGGGTCAGTCCAAAATGTGTGGATGAAGGGGGTCCCTTGGGTCCTCAGGCCTCAGGTTCGTCTGCACCACGTGGGAACGCAGGAATCGCTAATGCAGTAAACAGATATCGATCTTCTATCGTCTGGTCGCATGCGGATCTTTCTGTTGAGGTATACTACCTACCTCCAGGCGAAGATATGTCACAGTATTGATTGCTGCACGAGGCTCTGGCATTGTAGGAATATTTATATCTTGACTCAGCGGTCCAAAGATTACACGCGCAGTCCAAGTCCGTAGAAACTATTCACAACTGAGTAAACTAGTTCCTTGGAGATAATAATCAATAGAATACCCTTTTACTATACGAGTCCGTGGTCCTCGGTGTCGCGATTTCGATGCTGGGTATAAATTTTGACAAACAGAACCAGTGAAGTGTTCATAGAAGCGAGTTTTGATTACGTTTAGGCCGCTCTGCCGCTATGCTCTCGACAAAATCTGCCACTGCCGGCCAATAGCCTGTCTGGACACAAGTGTCATCTATTCATTGTCGGTTAGAAGAGCAGTAAGCAGGATGGACGACGATAACATACTGTGACCTCCATCTGAAAACTCCGTAAACTTGGCACGTTCCAGACCAACCTTATATTCGCGACCCCCTGACGTCTCTTTCTCGCCGCGGCGAGCAACCGCCTCCCATAGGGCACGCATATGCTCCTTCGGTACTATCTCGTCCTTTGCTCCGCTCAACATAAGGATGGGAGTCGTAGCAGGGATCAGAGGTATTTTAGACGCCGAGTCCCACTTTTCATGGCACAGGAATGAGAAAGGTCCGAGGGCGGGCAAGGCATGTGGAATTAGACTCGGGAGAGACATGAAAGTATTCTCTAAAATGAGGGCACTGATCTAAATGTATATTGTTAGCAGCTCAAGGAGAGGAGGTTGGATTGTTCCTGACTTTGTTAGGATTGCGACTCGCCAGGTCTATCGAAACAGCGCCACCAATGGACTGGCCATAAAGGATCTAATTAACAGGTCAACGAGGTTAACGAGAATTCAGAGGACACGAATCACGATTTGAGTTTTTGAAAAAATAGGATTTGAAGTAAGGTAGTCGAGACCAGTCTGCGCATCGATTTGCAGGCCTGCGAGGAAATGAGAGACAATATATATATAATTAAGGAGAAGCTTACCCTTCTCTGATGGCGACCCTTCAGACAATCCATAACTGCATTTTATTTCGAGTCAGCATCAATTCATGGGTTCAACATACACTCAACGTACCCTCGATATGACATCATCAGCACATTGCACCGCATCTTGAGGTAGAAAATCCTCGCCAAAGGGACCCTGTGACCGTGATTTCCCCCGTTCCCATGAAACATTATGACGGTAGGTCGACTAGCAACAAGCTAGTCAACATGTTAGCAAAAACCAAAACCATATCACAGGAAAAATGACCTCATCATCTGATGCTGTGTTATCATCCTCAATAGGTGTTGCATGAATCGCATCCGAAGACTTCTTTTGAGGTATGAGATAGCATCTTAGCATGACTTTGTCGGACGTTTCTAGCTCGAGGTTCTCGTAAGGCAATCCATCTGGTACGGGCACGTCTAACATGTTATCGGAGTTAGTGATGCATTACCGCCAGTTCCATAGATTTATATACCTATTCTCGAGCCTGGGGGGAAGGCAGAAGGGTATATAAGATAGTTTTGGCCATACCATAGCAAACCGGCGCCTGTAGAACCGGTCAACTGCTATATTTTTGAGATGTATACAAATGGAAACTAACCAACGGTTGATAATGTTGCCGCAGTCGCAATGGATCCCTGGGACAAGTTGTTAGTTACCGTATCGCATCCACCTACAGCGATGATTTAAACCTTAGCGAATGTCGCAAGAGAGGGCCAGAAATCAGACATGGTTGCCTGTTTATGGTGGAACGTTGATGGGATTCAAGCTGCACGTGAGAGCCTTGCCAGTTG